GTCTGCAGGCCAGAAGAGGACACCAGACCTCATTCCAGATGGTTGTGAGCCACCACGTGGTTGCCGGGAATTGAACTCAGGACCTTTGTAAGAGCAGGCAATGCTCTTAACTGCTGAGCCATCTCTCCAGCCCAAGTTTTGAATATATTGTATTACATAATATGTATATTCCAAGGATGAAATCCAGTGATGTCAACATGCAGATTTTGCCATTGTTTGTGTTTTTTGAACACGGCACTAACTTTCAGCACATAATATATAGGGACTGGAAAGATGGCTCTGCAGTTAAAAACACTTGGCTGCTCTGGCAGAGGACTAGGTTCCATTCCCAGCCCCCACACAGTAACTCACATCTAACTCCTTCTTCAGAGCTCTGTGAACATGGTATGTACATGGTGCACAAGCATACACTAAAGCACACATACATACAAAATAAATAAAAAAGGGGGGAGGGACTGGAGGCAGACATAGTGTCTATAGTGTCTTTAATCCCAGCACTCTGGAGGCAGAGGCAGGAGGATCTCTGTGAGTTTGTGGTCAAACTGATCTACAGAGTGAATTCTAGGACAGCCAGGGCTATGTAGAGAGACCCCGTCTGGAAGAAGGAGAAAGAGGAGAGGGAAGGGAAGGGGGAAGGGTAGGAACTTGGAAGAAGACTAAAGAGTTAAGAGCATTCATTGCTCTTCCAAAGGACCCAGGTTCAGTGTCAGGCCCCACACTGGGTGTTCCACCTATGTTCCAGAGGATTCTATGTCCTAGCTCCAAAAGCACCTACATCCATATGCACATTCCCACAAGCATACACACATATACATAATTTTTAGTAATGAAAATATATTCTAAAAAGCAGGGTGGGGCGGGGCAGGCAAAGGATGCAGATGCTGGAAAGTGCCTCGGGGTTAAGAGCTCTTCCAGAGAACTCAAATTCAGTTCCAAGCACTCAAATCAGAAAGCTCACAGCTGCCTGTAACTCTAGCTCCTAGGGAGTCAATGCCTTCCTCTGGCCTCTGTAGGCACCCTCATATATACACATATATACACAAATAATATTTTTTTTCATTTTTCAACACAGGATTTCTCTGTGTAACAGTCCTCGTTGTCCCCAAACTCAGAGATCCACCTGCCTCTGCCTCCAAAATGCTAAAATTAAAGGCGTACGCCACCACCGCCTGCCTCACAAATAAGCTTTTTAATCTTAATAATAATAATAAATGCTAGCACATGGGCTGGAAAAGTTAAGAACATCTGTTACACCATACAGCCCTGAGGACCTGAGTTCAGATCCAGCACCAAAGTTAAAAGCCCAGCTTGCTGGGTGTGGTGATGCATGACATAAATCCCAGCACTTGGACTGGAGAGACGGCTCAGTGGTTAAGAGCACTGGCTGCTCTTCCAGAGGTCCCGAGTTCAATTCTCAACATGCACAGGGTGGCTCTCAACCGTCTGTAATGGGATCTGATTCCCTCCTCTGGTGGGCGTAAAAACCGAGCTCTCACGTACATAAAATAATCTCTGTGAGTTCAAGGACAACTCCATCTTCCTAGTGAGTTCCAGGACCACCAGAGCTACAGCAAGAGAGACTCTTCTTTCTCAAAAAAAAAAAAAAAAGTGGGGGGGGGCAGGCTTAATGCCATGAACTCCTCTAACCCTAAGGCTGTGATGAGAGGCAGACACAAAACGATCACCAGGGCTTGCTGACTCCCAGCCCAGATCCAGGCTCAGGGAGAGTGATAGATGACAGCTGGTGTCCCCACAGGCGTGCACAGCTCCCGACACATGTGAGCATACACCACACACATACACACAAAAACTAAGGCTCGGGGAGTAAAGCATGCTGCCGAACCAGACAACCCAAGTTGGTTTCCCAGTACCCACATGGTTGAACAGTGGTTCTCAACTTTCCTAAGGCTGCAACCCTTTAACACAGTTCCTCATGTCATGACCCCCAACCATAAGACACTGTGATTTTGCTACTCTTATATCTGATATGCAGGATCTCAGGCATGTGACCCCCGAGGAAGGGTCTTTTGATGCCTCCCAAGGGGATCATGACTGACTCATAGGTGGTAAGAGAGAACTAGCTCCTGCAGGTCATTCTCTGACCTATGGCCAGAACCACCCTGCTAGCACACTGTGGGGCCCTCTTCCCTCCCAATCGAGGTGTGGAGGCTTACCCTGTCTCAGTAATGACAACAGAAGGCTGGTGGTGTGGGTCGGCGGCACAGAGCTTGCCTCGAACGTGCAAAGCCCTGGGTTCAATCCCCAGCAACTCATAATCTGAGCATGGTGGCACACACCTATAATTCTAGAACGCAGAAGAAGATGAAGGCTGAAGGGTCAAGGACATTCTAGGCTACTTAAGTGTTGGAGGCCACCCTGGGATACATGAGACCCTGTCTCAAAAGGGGGGCGGGGGTGGGGACTGAGGAAATGGTGAAGAGATAAGAGTGTGTACCTGAGTTCACTTCCTAGCAAAAAGCCAGGCATGACTGCGCATGCCTGTAATTATAGCTTAGTAGGGCCAAGACAGGTGGATCCCAAGAGCTGGCTACACAGATGGCTTAGTCAAATGTCCAGCTTCCAGCACAGTGAGACCTTCTCAAGGGAAAGAGGCAGAGGTCAATGGAGGAAATATTGATGTCAACCTCTGGCCTCCATATATGAAGACACATTCAAATATATGCACACACTTATGTGCATACATTACACACGCGTAAACAAACGTATTTCAAAAAATCCCAGCAATCTGCAGGTGGAGGCTGAAGGATAGAAAGTTCAAGGTCATTTCCCAGCTGTTAGCAAACTCAAGACCAGCCTGGGCTACAAGAGACTGCTTTAAAAATAAACAAAAGCTGGGCTGTGGTGGCGCACACCTTTACTCCCAGCACTCCGGTGGCAGAGGCAGGCAGACCTCTGTGAGTTTGAGAACCTGGTCTACAAGAACTAGTTCCAGGACAGGCACCAAAGCTACAGAGAAACCTAGTCTCGAAAAAAATAAAAAAATAAAAATAAACAAGTAAGAAGTCAGGCATGATGGCCCACACCTTTAATCCCAGCACAGAGGAGGCAGAGACAGGCGGATCTCTGTGTAAGTTTGAAGCCAACCTGGTCTATAGAGCAAGTTCCAGGACAGCTAGAGCTGTTACACAGATACAAAACCCTCGAAAACTCAAACCAATAAACAAATAAATATAAAACTAAAAAGATGACAAATGCTGCAGTATTAGCTGAACTTTGCCATTACTTTCTTTTTCCTTAATATTATGTGTGTGTGCTTTGTCTATGTGTATGTCTATGCACCATATGCATGTATCAGCAGAAACCAGAAGTGGGTGTTGGATCCTCAGGAACTTGAGTTACAAGACAGTTGTGACAGTTGGCTTCACATTGACATCTGCCTGCCTCTACCTCTCGAGCACTAAAATTAAAGGCTTACACCACTATCCCCTGCTACATGTCTCTATAATTTTTTGAATGACCACAGACCCTAAAAATTTGGCTATAGCCATTGAGGCAAAACATGTTGCTAGTCAGGCCCGGTGTCTCACAACACAAACACTCTGAGAAGAATCCCAGCACTCTGCAGGTGGAGACTGAAGGATCAAAAGTTCAAGGTCATTTCCCAGCTATACAGCAAACTCAAGACCAATCTGGGCTACAAGAGACTGCTTTAACAATAAACAAATAAATAAAAAGCCAGGCGTGCTGGCACACCTTTAAAGGTAGAGACAGGTGTGTCTCAGTGAGGCTGAGCCTGGTCTACAGAGTGAGTTCCAGGACAGCCAAGGATATACATAGAAATCCTGTCTCGAAAAACAGGAAAAAACAAGCAAAAAACCTCTGAGACCTACATGGTAGAAGGAGAGAACTGATTCCTACAAATTGTCCACAGGGAAGTCAGGACACAAGTATACACACACTCACATACATGTGCGCACAAAACAAGCACACACACAGTATGATATATACACATATATATATATGTATATATATATAATGTGTGCTTTAAAAACAGACAAAAAATTCATAAGAGTTGAAAAAATACAAGTGGACATAGTAGTGCACAAAGACCAGGAATTTGAGATCAGCCTCAGTTACATAACAAGTTCAAAGCTACCCTGCGCTCCATAAGACCCCATCTCAAAATAAAATAAAGGTGGGGGGAGATGACTCAGTGGGTAAAGCATGTGTTCTGCATCCATGAGGATCTGAGTTCAGCTCCCCAGCACCCAGATAAAAGCTGGGTGCAGAGATCTGAACACGTAACCCCAGGGTTGGGGGAGCAGAGACACACAAATCCACAGGACTTACTGGCAAACTAGCCTCAGCTCAATGGGGAAGTCCACGTTTAGTGTCAGACATTGGCTAGAGTGGGCTGGGTGTGGTGGCGGACATCTTAAATCCAACACTCAGGTGGCAAGGGCAGGAGGATTCCTTAAGGATCAAGGCCTGCCTGCCTGGTCTACATAGAGAATTCTAGGGAAAACATAGCAGGAGGAGAGTATTTAGGAAAACACCCAAAAATGTCAATCTCTGGGTTCCACAGTCACTCTCTCACAAGTACACATACGCTACACACATTGTACACATACATACATACATACACACACTCACACATCAGGGATGTGTGCTAAGATGGGACATTCCGCCTCTGAATGTCCTCACCCTAAAAGCCACTTCTGGATCAGAACTGGTCCCCAGCTATAACCTCACTCCCTCCTACTGTGGTCCTGCTTCCCCATGCGCTCCCTAGATTCTCTACCCTACATTGTTAACTGTTCAGATAACATCTCAGATCCATCTTCCAGTCAAACTGTACCATGCTCTGAAAACACAGCTAAGACTATAATGCCCTTCTTTCTTCTCTCTCTTCTTTGGTCTACTCAGCCCTATCCATCAAAGACTCACCTTTGGGAAGAAGAAATGGGGACTCTGCTGGTGGCCCAGGACCTGGAGGGTGTCATCAGACAACAGGGGCTAGAGGAAATAGTTCCCCTCCTATGGGGCGACTTTAATCCTGAGCGGAGAGTGATGTCATCTACCGTGGCCTAGATCTCGAAGGGTAATCCCAGCCAAGATGCGGGACTGACTAGGCAACAGGAGGTGACATTGGCTGGGGGAA